GTCTTACATGTAATTAAACAGCAAAAAAAGCCAAAAATAGAGCTGTGGCTCAAGTGGTAGAGTGTTGGCCTTGAGCAAAATAGTTAAGGGACAGTGCCCAGGTCCCTCAATTCTGCCACACACACACACACACACACACACACACACACACACACACACACAATCTGGGAATGTGTAGATGGGAGGTGATTGAAAAGACTCTTTTTCTCCTGGAAATAAAATATTCCGATTGTCTGTTAAGTTTTGCTTAGAGATGGCTCATGGGAAGAAGTTCCCACCAGCAGAACCAAAAAAGATTTTTCTCCATTCTAATTCCACAGGCTCCCACTGTAGCTCATGCTTCAGTTGGCAATGACCTAAGCCTGGGAAGCTTCAACTGTGGGTTTAACAAAACATCCTTGTGTGAATCCCTCCTTTCCTATTGGATGATAAATTTATACTTCCAGCATCGTTCTTGAGTTTGGGGACCATAATTCCCCACAAAGCCTTGGTTTGTAAGCTTTGCCATCTGTCTATCAGGAAACTCAGGCAAAAACAAACATCATGCAAATATCTGGAGTGGAGCCACAGTGCCTGAACTGTACATAGAGCTAGTGAGGTCATTCCGAAGGACACTGCAAGCTATATTTTATTCTAGTTTATTTTTATTTATTTATTTTTATCAGCCATGGGACTTGAACTCAGGGCCTGGGCACTGCCCCTGAACTGTTCTGCTCAGGTTTAGCTCTCTACCACTTTGAGCCACAGCCATTTTTCTGGTGGTTAATTGGAGATAAGAGTGTCTCATGGACTTTGTTTCCAGGACCAGCTTTGAACTGCACTCCTCAGATCTCAGCCTCCTGAGTAGCTAGGATTACAGGCCAGAGCCATCAGCATCCAGCTTCTATTTAATTTTTGAGGGAAACATAATGATACTCAATATCTCTTAGACACTATTGTAGCACATGCCACATAGCTTAACATAGTTTAGTTTTAATGCTAGATCATGCTACATTCTTTCAATAAACCTTATTATGTTCACGAGGCTGGGATTTGGGGTGGCTCTTTGGGTGGTTCTGAATACCATGTAGAAATCAGTGTGACAGTGGAAATGAGAGGTGATGTCCAGTATGACTCCAAGTTCTGAGAAGTTGTGCCACACTCTGAAGTATCCCAGGAGTGACTCATTGAAAAGGAAAAACAATGTATTTCCCTTTTTCAAATTATTACTAAAGTTGTGAAGACATAAGTGCTTGTTAAACTGTTGGCGCCTAACTACCTAATAAACATGTTTTAGATTCTTCTTTATAAATACTGGTCTAGAGGAAAACTAATTACTGAGACACTGGGGGTTTGGGGAATGTGAGGTTTGAGTGTTTCCATGGTGGAGCTGTATGGACAGCAGAGGACAGTGGCGTGCCAGGGCTTCTCCCCTTTCACCCTTTCTCTCCCCTCCCATCCCCTCCTCAGGACAATGCCCAGACCCTGAGTTGAAGCGCCAGGTGCTTCGCACCTCAAATTAAGTTGTGCAAAGACAAGGTTTAAATATCTAATTTTCTTTTGTTTAGCAACTCATTAATACACTCTTGAGATGTTCAGATACATACCCTGTTAGGTCCAGCTGGATTTCCTGCAAATCTGGGAGACCTTCTGTCTCTCGTGGGTTTGCCTTGACTTCATCAGGCAAACCCTCAAGATTCCAGCTCAACTCTGCTTGAATTCACTGTTCTCTTGCTATTTTTCTCTCTCCATACATATATGCATATGGCTATGTATGTATGGATTGTATATGTGTGTAATTATATGTAGGCATATAGCAATCCTTCTTCTTCCATGAGTAATTGTAGCATACTACCCTATTTGACATTTATTTTTATTTTTTATGGTTATTTATTTATTTATCTGGGGATTGAATCCAGGGCCTTGCTCATGGTAGACAAGCACAACACCCTATTACTTGAACCACATCCCCAGCTCTTTTTGTTTATACTTTTTTGTGTTTGAGATAGGTTCTCACAAGTACCCCAACTGGCCTCAAATTCAAGATTCTCCTTCCTCTGCCTCCTGAGTCAGATTGCAGGTGTGTATCATCTTCCTGGGCCTCCCATTGGTCTTTTATAGTTAACATTATACTTTTGAGATTGTTTTATAATAATACATTTCCTTTATTTTTAATGCCTCCAGAGAACTCCATTGTTTGAATGAATAGTAACATTGAAATAGGAGTTAGTATCTTAATTAGCAATTGGGTTGCTTTTAGTCTTTATTTTTTAGTTTACCTACTAGGATATCAGGGGACACATTTCTAGAAGTCAAATCATCAGGTTAATTAGATCATGCATTTCCAATATTGATAGCTATTGCCAAAATTTCCACCAGAGACACCGTACCAATTAAGACCACATCAACTGTGGTTTTCCGATTATCCTATCATCCACCCTATTATCCAACTGTTTATTCTGAATATGATAGTTTAGAGTTGAAAATTTCAGTGCCCTAAATTTTAAATGAGTTGGAGCCTATATTTTTATGTATTCAAAATCAAACATGTCTTTTCTCAGTTAATAAACATCAATGGCCTATGCCAAAACACACCTAGTGTGCTTCTGGGTGTCCTGTGTATTTTTACTAGGGATGGAATGTTGCCTCTTTACATGTGTGGAGAGAGTGGATAAGCGGCAGTCATGGCTGTGCACGTTGAGGGCAGAGGTATGGTGCCACAGTGGGAGGCTGTTGGATGTATACCCATCATGGGCTAGAAGGGCTCATCAACTCCAGCGTCTAGTTGTAAGCTGAAATCAGTGAAGATGTTTAGTAGCCAGTGTGGTAAACAGGGGATGGAAGACAGGTTGGAAATGTCTCAGGATATTAGGGTACTGTGTAGAAATAAGGACACTGGCTGAGAGGAATTTGGTAAGGCAAAGATTTTACTTCTGCATAAGGGCATGTTATTGACAGCCAAGTAAGAGAGCAGGCAGTCTCTTCACGTTTTATCCCAAACTCATTACTTGTTCTGATTGGTCACAATTTAAGTTCACACCTTGTATGATTGGCTAGCTTGAAAATGATTATTAAGAGTTTATCCAAGTGAGCAAGCAAAGCCAGGGCATCTGGCCAATCATGCACTTAGGAGAACAAGGGTTGCAGCTTAAAATAGCTTCCTAGGGTGGTGGCTACTTTTAAAATGAAAGTGTACTTATGTCAAGCAACCATTTTGATAGGAAAGATTCTAAGTACTACAGAGCAGGAAGAAGAAATAGCAGACCAACACGTGCAGAGAGGAGAGTGGAGAGAGCAGAAAGCAAGAGAGATTTGCACACAAGTTGTAGCAATGTGAAGGGCAAATCCACCACCCACTGATACAGCCTGAAAAATCAGTTAAGGAGTTGTTTGAACTTGACTCATATGACAAATACTTTTTAAGCAAAATGCACACACACACACACACACACACACACTTAATTGGAGATAGAGTCTCATGGACTTCCCTGCTGAGCCATGATCCTCAGATCTCAGCCTCTTGAGTGATTGGGATTACAGGCATGAACCACCTATGCCTGGCTTAAGCAGAATATTTTTAAGTAAAATATCAACATGGCAGAAATCTAGGAAATGGTTTGGAGAGGTTTGGCAACTGAGGTCCAGCCACTCAGTTTGGTTCTTTGATCTTATGGGTACAGTAGATTTTTTTGTAGGTCTTCCTGTTAAAGCAGGTAAGGGTCTCTTGTGAAAACGGGGTGCACCGAACTGGGACAAAGTGTAGAGACTCACTACCACGGAGCAGCAAGGTGTGACTCTTGGGTTTGCCAGTTTCAAGCTGTGTGTGTGTGTGTGTGTGTGTGTGCTTGAGCAGGGAGAAAGTTACACTCAGAGGTGCTGTGAAGATGTAAAGAGGGGTGTGTGTGTGTGTGTGTGTGTGTGTGTGTGTGTGTGTGAAATGCTTAGCACAACAAATGGCTTAATAGCTGCTAGCTGTTTTTATTTTTACTACCTTCCCTCACTCCACTCCGGAAATGCCTTTTACCTTTGACTTACAAAGGACAGGTGAAGAGAATGTGGTTGTTTTTAATGTGGAAGCTGGAGAGAGGTTTCTGACATCTTTGTTTAAGCTTCCAGTTTGAGTCATGAGAAAAGAAAGGAAAAGGAATGAATCAAATAACTTGTTCAGACAAAGTCGTCGGACAACTTTGCAGCCGCTGGTGGCGGCTGCTCCTCCTCCTCCTCCTCCTCCTCCTCCTCTTCTTTTCTTCTTCTTCTTCTTCTTCCTTCTTCTTTCTTCCTGCCACCATGTATATATACCTAGGTATATAAACTTGGGTTCTGAACACCTACTTACTTGTGAGTATAGATCTTCTTCTTGTCTGGTGACAGCAGCGATTTCCTGAGTGGAAACCCCTAATTTAGAATATCATCTGTCTCCAGCACTTTGTAACACATTGTTCAGATCTTGGCGTTTTCAATAATCTTAGAAACAATAGGTGTGGGCAAAGCAGACAAGTGAAATTCCAGAGAGACTGAGGGAGCTCCAGGCTCGCAGCTGCTTTCCACAGTGCGGGGTCCAGAGTGGTTCGCAGGCGCCCAGCCCCCTTCTTGGGGCTTCTTGCCACTTGGGCTGCGCTTGGTGTCGGGACAGCTCAGCAAGCACGTGGCGCTCTGGTCCCCACTTCTGCCTCCTGGACCGTCCCAGTCTTCACTGAACACCCCGCCATCCGATCCGGTGCCATCCAATTAAAACAGCTGTGTAGCGAGTGGCTGCTGGCGTCTGCAAGGCACGGGACAGGCCGGGGATCCGAAGAGGGCATTCAGGGCTGGGTGTCACCAGTCCTCGCCCGAGGCAAGAAACAGGCGCTTAAACTTGGCCCCCCTCTGCTCCCCACCCCTTCTCCTTAATTCACATGGCTAACGAATTTCGCTCCAGCGTCCTCACCTGCTCGGCGTCTGTTACCTTCCCCGAAGCTTTCCCATGTCTGGCCGGCTGCTTGCCTGGCGCCAGCTTCTAGGGATCGCCCCCGAGAAGTGGGATGGGGAAAATGCAGCAGCCCTCCCCGCTCGCCCCTGCCCCGCGAAGCCTCGGGGCAGCCGGGGACTGGGTGCCGGGTGGGCGCCGCGGGGCAGCGCAG